TATCTCTGTCAAATATGTATGTAGTCACTTACTGGTTACGATAGCAATGAGAAGAGCAGGAGTAATGACCAATGTATTCTTCTCTGCTGTCACCAATCTGTGTATAGACGACGATGATGAAGATGTATATTTTACAAAGTATGTTCTCGTTGGTCGTATGTTTGTAACTGCTACTACCAAGGTTCAAGGTTGAGGTGTCGGACGAGTTTGAACTTTAGTTAGTTTGAAGACTGTCTTAAAAACAACTTCTCGTACAAAACTTTAAACAAATGTTGTTGAAAAGCGTGATCCATTTGTGGACTTCATAACTTACTTAAGACCTCCCTTCAATAAACTGAGTACTATCCTCATGAGTGCATACAAAGACTAATTTTAACTTCGTTAATGACAACGTACACACATTCAACAACACCTTACTAAAACTTCTCCATTTATCAACCCGAGGGAACCGAAACTTTGCAAGCATAGGTAGGTACGTAATTTAATTCCATCAAAAGTAATTTGCCCACGCTACATTTTAATTTGAGAAAAAAATGTTAAAAGTAAAAAAATAATCGGCCTCTAGCGAATTAGCACTCTAATTCGTCGATCAATTTACATTGAAATTCGTCTCTTTCCCTTACTGTTATTGTTGTTTTAATCCTTGAGGGCTGGTAAGTCACTTTGTGGGCGCCAAAGGCGTACTCCCTATTATTCATAATTATATCTTAAAGAATTTATTTAACATCTTTATGGCAGCTTCATCGACGATCGGATAGTATCGATGAAATGAAATCGGTGATATTGGCTTCCAATTTCCGTTTTCTTTCGCGTAGTCAAAGTAATAAGTTGTTAATATCACTCTCCTGCCCTAAGGCGCATATAATGATGATATGTCTCGAGATAGGTCTCCAGACACATTATCATAAATCATCATGTCATAAAATCGCTGTGTTGTTGCGTAAAAGAAATATAAAAACAAACTAACACATACACATTCACAAAAGTAATAGCTTACAAGAATTTTTAGGATTTAAAAATAAACACAACCTTATCAAAAATACTTCTACTAATTACTTGCTTGTTGTCAAGATTATCTTACAAACTGCCCCCAAAATAGTATCTTTCGAATCAAAGGTAAGCAACAATTTGGCAATAAAGTAGAAACAGATTACAAACGAGCAAAATAAAAGTCCTATTTGAAATAGATACGATTGTAGTGTTCAAAGGGATCGTAACTCTAGGATCGCAGTGGTAGAATCCATTGTCATTATTTCGGCATTATACTCATACAATGTATGGGATTTAGTTTCTGCAACTGAATATTATTATATTTTGTGTAGATGTGAAAGTTTTCTGAGAAGACAATGTGCGTCAATCTGCACATTGTATTCTCAGAAAACGATCGTCATGCTTTGTAACTCTCAAAAATTTTGGCAGAGACGCTGAATAACAATGTAAAGGAGGCCCATACACGCTAGGTTTTGCATGATGGTTTTAGACGTGCATGGATAACTGACAGGCAAGCCCTAGCGTGTATATGATTAAACTGTACAGTTATGGGTACATCGGTGTTCGGTTATACTTGTCGGTCATAACCATCATGCATAACCTAATGTGTTTTTTTTAAGCGGGGAAAATTATTGAATGACTGCTCCCGCCTGGGTGAGGCGGAAGGGAGTGTCAGAATCTTACTGACTAAAAACCACCCCGTTCCTTCTCCTGCACGTCGAGCCGGAGCCCCGGTTATAACCTAACGTGTATGGCCTCCTTCACATCTAATTTTCAATAGTTACGTTGAGACCCAAGTGATATGAAGAGTCTGTTGCTATACACCAAGCACGGTTCCAGAGTCCGTGCAGTATAGTTAGGATCATTTAATAAACCGTAAAATCGCTAATAATACCCAATTATTATCTTTGTCCGCCGGAATTTAACTTCTCGACGTTTACGACGAGATCGTGAGGACAACGCATGCCCAACCTTAGGCTACTCATTTTGATAGGACATTTACCATAGGTTAATAATGTTATATTGTATATAGAGGACCCAACGTGGTCTTGACTGCTCTGTCAAGAAAAAAGCGATTGAACAGAATGTGGAAGAAACAGAAATATAGAGAAGTAATTAGGCGACAATCTAAAAACGTCAATCTAACCCTCCGGCTTGACGTGCAGGAGAAGGAACGGGGTTGTTTTTAGTCAGTAAGAGTCTGGCACTCCCTCCCGCCTCACCCAGGCGGGAGCAGTCATTCGATGATTTTCCCCCCTTAAAATAAAAGGTTCATTCATGAGGTGGTGATTGCCATGACAACAAAATTAAGAAAAATCAATTCAAGATAACAGTTTTTCTTTAGTATGACAAAGATACTATTGGTAAATCAAATGCTTACTCATTCTTCTAAAAAGTTTTAGTAAATTAATTTAACTTAAATTAGAGTCCAGACCAGTGTTGTTATTATAAGTTAATTTTAATTTAATTTTCCCGCCTTAAAAAAAACAATTTAAGTTACAAAATATGTAGGTAGCTCATGTCGGAGGTATGTTCATTAAATTTTACTAGGTTCACATGTTCACATACAAACCTAACCAATACAGCCCTTTGGGAAATAGTAGCAGACACAATGTTTAATATACCTAATAAATCTAAATTTAAGCGCATAGAAGTTGCTCAGTACTCACCTACGCATTTAAAACGGGTAGGCGAAAGTTAAAACATTGTCTGCCCTATGGGCGCGGTGGCTCCTACACGTTAAGCGGTGGGTTCGATTCCCGCACCACGGTAATATTATCATACAGTAGTGTAACTCAGCCGCTGGTAGAGTTAAATACCTACAGCTGCGCGGTACGTAAACGTGCGTTAGGGCTGCCCGTCTCCAGCATTTTAGTTACATTTGCCTACCTACTTTCTGTTTCTATTTAGTTTTGTCCTTTTTTATACATATAAACAAATAAAATACTTCGTAGGTATATGGAATAGAGTGTTCAATAAAAATGCGTGTTACTTTTTGAATGGTAGACTTAGGTAATTTTAAAAAAAAACATGTTATTGTTTGAAAATCGAATCGGGCTTAAAAATTTGCGACCGAAAATATTTGCAAAAAAATAGGTACATCTAAAAACAGCACAATACTATATTCGTACTCGTTATAATAAATATGTATTCCAACTGATTTACAGAAAAACATCGCGCGGTTACTGTTTAAAAAATAACACACCGTCCGTTCGTCACTGCAGTAGGTACATACCTACAGCCATGACTGTCTGCATAGTATCAATTTAAATAGCTGACAAGTACCTACTTGTCAAATGTACTTATTTTAAGTTACCTAGTAGTCACAAAACATCTAATACCTAATTATGGTTCGTGTCTTAGGTAGGTATAAATGAATCCGTGTAGCTTAGCTATGGTTAAAATATTTATCTTACTCCTAAGCGACTCTCGTGGCCAATGCGAGAAATCTGTTGCCTAATTGCTTTGGAAATAATATACTAGACAAGCTCCTCACTCAGAACAAGTTAAGACCTTTACATTTTAGTTTACTGTCGTGATCAGAGATGGCGTTGTAGGTACGTGTCAAAGTTACTCTAAGATATGGCCGAGTTTTTTTTATGGTATTAGCCGGTAAACGAGCAGACGGATCACCTGGGTGCTTACTCTTGAAACCAATCTCAATGTCAATGCAATTTCAATCCAATGAAATCTCAATAATTATTCAATGTCAATACTATACAAAGACAATCGTAGCTGTTAAAATAGCATTCAGAGAAGGTATAATATTGTAGTCTTTGATTCGCCAAACTAAATACCATTTAGTTTATTCAATATCCGCGCAATACGGATGCAATGGACTCCAGTGTTGCAAATCAAGAGTACGAAATTTTACAATAACAATGTCGATCGATCGGAATTGGATTCAAGAGTAAGCCCCCTGGTGGTAAGCAATCGCCGTCGCCCATGGACACCTGGAACACCAAGGCGTGGCCTTTTGGGAATTGGAAATTTGAGGGTTGTGGAGGACTCGGAGATTTGGAAGACTGGTGAGGGGGCGTAATTGGGCCTCTAGTTAACACACCCACATGTTGAAACACAATGCAAGCGTTGTTTTACGTCGGTTTTCTGTGAGGCCGTGGTATTACTCCATGTGGTGGATAGTTGTAGCTTAAATTGTAGCTATTAAAAATTAATTTAATGTTACTTAGGTGTTGACTAATTACATGATTGTTAATTGAATTATAAATATTTACCTATTCGTATGTCATTCCAAATAATATCACAATCTAGTTTAGGTATATACGAAACGTCTTCCCTACATAAAATTAATAATTATAAATGAAAATAATGGTTATAATTAAGAAGAAAAAAAGAAAAAATTATATTGCGAAGACAGTAAGAACATTACCCTGAATCATGACATTGAAAAAATAGAATTTCCCGCGTTTCACATTTATAGTTCATTCATTACAGGTTAATAATGCACTGAATGAAATGAAATAGGTATTGAAGTAATTCAATAATTTCAAAAGCAATAATATTTTGGTTTCTTTTTTAAAGAAAATATGAATATTTTTTTTCTGAATAAACAATAACGTATTCTATACAAGTAAAATATGTTTTATAAAAACTGATGAGACATACTACGACTAAAATTATGTGCATTGTTTAGAAAGTCACAAGGATTTTCAATTACTAGTAACAAAACACTATATTAAAAATAAATTATCATTAAAAGCGAGTAGGAAACGTAAATTATTACTGAATTGTAACATTCAAACTACCAAAATGAGTAAAAATATTTTGAACATGCAACACTATCGTGTCATTCATTCGAGTTGCCCAAAAGTTTCGTCATGTCATTCACTCCGTAACGTGAACGGAACGCGGTTAGTGGAAACATGTCTGCCGTTTGTGTTATTTGACGTAAATATTGACGAAAATCAAGTTTCTGTTTTCATTTGCGTAGTGATTATCGGTGCTATTTCATTATTATAATGTGTGTGGATGTGCAGTGATCCGTTCATATGAGGCTGCTATATAAAACAGGTCCAATGGAGTCACTAAGAAAGTGGTTCTATAAACCGAAGGTACGTCAACACGATATTTTGTGATGATTCCTTTAGTCTGTGCTAAATAACTAAAAATATTTAATTACAAAGTGTTATCTAGTATTTATAATTGCTAACATATGTTAGAATTTTGTGTCGTCCGCGTCGTATTCGTGAATCGCGTTGTAGAAGTTGTCATTCTTTGTTGGCATTTAGTGGGATGATTCAGTCAATGTTTCTGTTTGATTTTCCTACTACCTACCATTGTTCTGATTGTTAAAGTGTGCAGTACAATTTCCTATTACTATTATGGTCATATTAAATCACTAGGGTACGATTGTTGGTCCTTACGTCACGTTACTCGCAAGTTTTGCATTGTCTGGCCAAAGCGACATATGCAAATCAGTTTCAATAGTAAATAATATGTTGGTATGAAAATGTTATGCAGTGAGCGTCTTGGTGGCCGCGATAATGTGATGCTGTAGCAAACATACGAGTTGTTATGTTAAATAGTTGCTTAAAGATTAGCTCGCAATACTGGTTTGTTTTGCGACGTCTGTTTTGATCTTCACTCGCGAAAACATCGTCACAACTTGGCGTTTTTTTTGTCAGCCACCTGTCAAGTTTATGATGTGTGGCCAGTCCTTGCCTAGTCTATTGTTATTAGACCATGAAGTTTTTATCATTTTATGTTATTCTTTGTAATAGTACCATTATTAAAACTTATGAAGGTCATCTTCTGATAATTTAATATTATGAACCAAAGTATTGGTCATTTGATAATGTAATATTTTATGTAAATTTTAATACTCATAATTTGATAACAGTATTGTTTCATGATAATCAGTATTGCAATAGGAGAATTACTTAGATATTAGCATGATATTAGTGATGTTATCATGCAAATAAAATGCTTATTCATCATTTCACTTTAATTAGAGTATTGTTATTGTTTGCTTGCTATTTATGGTAGCTGCTAAGTAAGCAGTAAAACCTATGTGTAAACAAAAATATCTTTACTCTTTAAATCCAAGCAACAACACTATTCAGTGTGTTATGGTACAGTTACATTACATTTTCAACATAGTTAACTATAATAATCAGTCAAATTTCATAAAATAAAGAATTATTCAGATGTCTGTGGTAAAATACTTACGAAGTTCATTGGTTCACAATGACTTAACATTTTGGAATTCCCAAACGACTATATGTAATGGACTATTTAGGTAATATTACTGACATTTTCTTTAATAATCATTTTCCGTATTCGCTACATAGATATTATAGGTACTTATACATATTTAGCAGTAAAAAATACGAATTATAACAAAGAAAAATGGTTTTTAAAGTTCCTTGTATTAGATACTACAATGTAGTGATACTAGGACTCGACTATCAATAAAATAATTTGTGACAATAACAATACCATTTGAAAGAATTAAACTATACCGCAATAGTGTGAAAGTCATGACATGAGTTGACATAGGTACATATTGGTACCTAATTAAATTAATTTTCTTTTTACTAGACAATAGATAAAATCACATATTTTATTATTCACAAGCATGACAGTTACCCATGACTGTTATAAATAAATAATAATAGCATACCTAGTAATAACTTACATATGTACACACTGCCACACATCAATCTATACAAAACCAATTTAACCTGGTGTGCCGTCGCATCATCTTTCCGCACATTTAACGTTTAGTTTATACTGGTTATGTAAAGCTTGATGTGTAGCCCTGTGTACTAACTAGTCTTCGGGCCCTGCTTTACGCGGGTACTTTATATTCAGCTGTAAGACAAACAATAATAGACCATTGCTACTGTAAAATATGAGTAAACATGTTTTAGACATCGGTATTAATTATTGAAGTAAATTGTAGCTCTAATTGTCAAACAAATGCAAGCTACCGGATTTACTTTACGGTCTTCTATAGATTCATATACAGATTTGCACTAAAAGTTCCTTGTTTCACAGTTTAAGATTGTTGTTATCAATAGATAAAGCATGTAAGCAAAAACAACATATTACTTAAAATGTACCGTGTTTATCTAGACTTGTGATAACATATCTCTATTTCAAATAATGATTCCTCATGATTCATAATGTCACCGAGTTAATTTCCATCTCTTCTATGATAAGTAGGGATTTGTTCTTTGTTTTCTAGTTTAAGGGGTTTAATTTTATATATTTAGACTGATTACAATTTTGTCAATATGTCATTATCATTATGTTACGATTCATCATTACACACATTGATTAATAAGCCTTGATTCAATATTTAACCACTCTAACTACTGCACTAATTTGAAATGGTAATATACAGCGTTGATCTTACTTATGGATAGTTTTATAATTGTACTCTTTTATATAATTATATTTTTTATTTCTTTTATATTCATACATGTCCACAACTTTGTTACTAGACCAAAGAGGAAGCCAACTATAGTTTGTCAATCATCCATCTAGTCTGAAGAGTGCCAAAAATAACGAAACACCTTAAAAGAAAGTAACTGTTTACGAATGGATATAGAACTCATTCCTGCAGACAAATGGTTCAACGCCATGTCTAAGTGCCTTTGAATCTGAAATACTTGTAGGTACTAGATTATTAGATTAGATTACATTTACTGATACTAAAACTTTCTTTTATGTATCATTAGTACCAGTCAATTTACTTTCAAAATGTATTGATTGTCATTTTTAATACTTTTATCTACATTGACAAACTGTTCCATACCACTTTGACAAAGGCCTTTGTCCCATATTGTCACAATTAGATGACGAATACGGATTTGTGGAACCATTCACGCTAACTAGTACCATTCAGCCAGTTTTTTGGGGTCTATTATAGGCAACATGACGTCATCATATGTAATTGAGAAACTACAAAAAGACAAAGGTATAAGTTAACCTTCGGAAATGATAACTATAGTCGTCACCAACCATGTTTTCGACCTTAACAGAGTAATAAACGACTTATTTTAGCATTTGTACCTAATTGATAATGCAATGTTGATAACTAAGTAAGTGTGTATGGTTCACATGATTTAATATTTTGTCTTCCTAGACACCAGCAATTTTCATAAACATTTTAAAACTAACTACTTACCTAAATTAAATCAGTGCAGCAATAGTGACTTGAGTTTAAACTGTGAAACACCAAGCGGTCACCGGTGACCGCGACCTATTGTTCTTTAATTGTGTCTATAAAACCGGTACTCGACGAGTTAACTTGAGTTAGAACCAGGCTGACAGAATATCAATAGGTGTATTAATTTCTTCTTGATTCATGAGCTGATTGTGTTGAGTTGAGTGCTCTAAATACCATTTACATTGGACAAGATAGCGGATGAAAATAACTAGCTCCTTTAATCCTACCTTTACATCAAGCTTCATGGGTTGTTACTTGTTAGCATTGGTTTTTTGGACCAATCATTCAATTTACACTACGGGGAGAATTGTTAGGTAGAGTTTGTCTTCCCCAAATGAGGCATCCTTAGATGACACTGATTATTTTATTAGTTTATAATATTGTCACACCATACCATAGTTAATAAATTTAGAATAGTTACTATGGGTATTCCAAATTTTTAAAAAGTAATCCGATATATCTTAATCCTATGGGATTAGTTATAGTGATGCAAAATTTATGTTTACATCAAGGGTCCAAATGATATTTTATTACAACCTTAAACATCTAAGTAGGGAGGTAACTATGACAGTCAAGTCGCGTGCTGCATTACAATTGGCACGTTTACTGAGCCCGAACCGAAATCTGCAACATCCATTTGGCAAAATCGTATTTCATATCAGTTCAGTACCCCTAAGAACTTTAGCTATCAATATTGCGAAATTTAGCAATTTTATTCGTAATCGATTTAATATTGACATCCTTAATCCGAGTTATCGGATAGTAACATCATATCTTCCATCTCGTTTCAACAAGGCCGATTTATTCGTTCGTCTCGCTTGTGCACTTTCACTTTTTTTTCACCGCTTTCCCAATGGCGAAACTCGGTCGTCTTTGCCAAATGTTTTGCGAATGGATGCAGTCTGGCCATTCAATGATTAAAGCTTGTGGGTGTCTCGAGCGATACCTACCTACCTATTATGCCTTGATTTTTTATGGCCTATTGTTCTAAATCGTGGCAACCGTTAAGTTAGTATTGTGTTGGTAAACAATTTTTGGCACAGTTTTTTACCGTAATGTCCGTAATCTTCTTTAATAGATCGTTCTATTGTTTGAATCATTACAATACCTTAAATATGCTTTGAATTTTAGTTAACACATTTGTCTACTCACTGTTTCATAAGTGTCATCGATAGACCATTTTTACGTCGGTAGGTACTAAAGATGTCGTAATCGGAAAGCCATACTTTAAATACACTTTGCCCTACTGTGTATCGAACCTTAAACTTCATCAGTCACGTTTATTTTCCATCACGTGTTATCGCTACCCTAGACATTGAAAATTGAGTTCTATTGCCAATTAACTACGTCTCAAATTAGATAAGTAAATGGTCGTTCCAATAAAATCCTTGTAAATGACTGTATGGCCTGTTCTGGCTTGGTCATTGCGGTTATCAGTTCGGGAGATAATTGACGTAAACACCACCACGCCCGCAGCCTATGGGCCGTCGCATTACACTGGTTGGAACTACGTGCACTATTAGTAAACATTGCTGGCATACTCGTACTATTACGTAGTGGCAGTGCGTTCTAAATGTTTAATTGCGTTCGTCTGTTTTAAAAAAAGTTCGGTACCTACCTATGTTCTTCGTAAGACATCGAATGCTTGTCTGTATGTAGATGTCCATTTTTAGAATGTGTGGCTGCAGTTGCTCTACATTCTAAGAATGCCTGTGTGTAAACAGGGCTCCTTTTTGTTTGGATTAACTTGTTTATTAACACGTAAATAATTGAACATTATTTTTTCTTTATTTACCTTGTTTAACCTCATACGTCCCAAAACTATTGAAGTGATTCACTTTTTGGAGTGGGATTGTCTGTGCGTTGTTCAGATGG